GGCAAGCAATAATGCCATTATTCAGAGTTTCATTTTTTGTAATTTCAGACATCTTTGGTGTTTGGGTTGAGTTATAAATGAAAACTAACATTGAAATGCCCTAGTGACCTGTTACACTTCTGGTCATTGGAAAACTGGACCCTCCCCATTCTTCCTCTGATTTAAACTTAGGGGTATTCTTCATTCATAACTGAAATCTGTTTTCCCTGTCTTTCCTGGTCATACCTGTTTGTCTAAATCAGCTCAAATTTTTATAACTTCAGCATATGCAGCAAAACCTAAGTGTTAGCGGTGTACCGATAGAGATTTTTGTGGCCGATACCGGTAGCCGATTTTTAAGGAGGCATATAGGCCGATGCCAATCCGATTTCTGATACGCAGCTGGTAGGTCTGGTGTGGTAGAAGGGGAGGGGGGTGAGAGAGAGAGAGAATGGGGCAGGGACAGGCCCAGCTCCAGCCCATCCTGCCCCATGCAGATCCAGGGCCACATGCCCTCCCCCCATGCTGTCCTGGACAAGCAGCAGGAACAGTGGCAGGAGCTGCCAGACAAGCACTGGATGGGTGTCACGCAGCAGCGGGATCTGCCCCCCCACCCTTCCCCAGGACCCCCTGACAAGCCATGCCTCCTTCCCACGTCTGCCCTGGCCCCAGCCCTGGCTGGGCAGCCCCAGCACCAACCCCACACCCTCCCTCACCACAGGGGCCTTGATTTGCTCCCCCATGCTTCTCCCCCCTCCCCTCCCACCACACCAGACTTACCAGCTGCACACAGCACTCCACGCTGTCAGTGCTCCTCACTGCCTACATGTTGCACTGCGGCTGCGTGCACACACGGGCATTTATTGGACAAATTATCGGCCGCACTGGGCCAATATCTGATGCAGAAAATTTTCTTTGTATCTGTGCACCTCTACTCAGTGTTGTGCTTGGAGTTCTGGGATAGAGGAAGCAGCATGACAGCTGATAGGTGTTTTGAGGTGTAGAAAGGTTGGGGATATTAAGATGAATATATTCATTTTTTTTTTTTGGTTGGTTAATTTGTGCTCGAGTCTTTATGCTGCTAAATCTGTTGATTGACTCATCCTATTATTTAAAGGCTCACAGAGCCAGAGAACAGACATGTATGTACATTTAAAAAAAAAAAAAAAAAGTGGTGTTGTTGTTTTTTTTTTTTTTTCTTAACTTCCTGGAAGACTTGGCAATATATTTGCTTAGACAGAAAGCTGTCAGGATGCTATCAGGAAATGAAAATAATTTGTAGAATGGGAATTAGTAAGACGTCACCATGGCTTAGTTGTGAAAGTTTCAGATGAGAGTTGTTTAGTTCTGTACCTGAAATGCTTACTCTCTCTCAGCTCAGTGTTTGATATGTAAGTATGCTGCACACAAAATGTTACAGTTGTTATAAGACTGAGTTGTCAGGTAAAGAAGGATATTTACTATCTGTGATACTTTTGTAACTAGATATGGAAAGTGGAAAAAGGACCAGATGGGAAAGCAATTGTGGAATTTTTGTCCAATCTAGCTCGTCATACCAAAGCTGTTAATGTTGTGCGTTTCTCTCCCAGTGGTGAGATCTTAGCATCCGGAGGTGATGGTGAGTAATATTTTATATAAAAGACCAACATAAAGAAGTTGTATTTATACAGTGTGTGTGTGTGTGTGTGTGTGCGCGCGTGCGCGCACACCCCCCCCTACCTGGAGTAAAGGTGAGCATGGAAATTTAGGAGATGTGAACGAGTTTCCATCTTTGGACTTGTTTGGCACCAACAAGGAGCATGGTGTCCAAGTGTCTTGTAAACCCCACAGAATTTATTCTCACAAGGGTTTTATGAGAATAGAGAACTAATTTATCTACTTTACAGATGTAAAAAAGGTGTTATTCCTGTTTTGTACATAGGGAAATTGAGTGGCTTACCCAGGACCATATTAGGAGTCTGGCAGAGTTTAGCAGTTGAACCCAGAGTTTGAGAGTCCCAGTCTGGTCTCCTAACCACCTTAGCAAAGGTTTTGCATAGTTCTGGGTTGTTTTTAATGCAGTTATGCAGTATTTTAAGGGAAAATTTTGAAAAGGCAGAGTAGTTAGGTAGCTAACTCTAATTGAAAGTCACTTCTTTGGCAGTTGGTGTAACTCCTGTTTGAATATTGGAAAAATCTCCATAATCAAATTGTTTACTAAAAAAGAAGGAAATCAATATAGCTCACAAGTAGCTTATGCTTCTATTTCTTGTCCCTACTCTAAAAAGAGAATAGAGGAGAAGAGCATTCCCAGGTCCATCGCCTAAACAGTAGACAAGCTCTAGCTGATTTCTATATTTTGTATAATAGCAGGATAAACCTTGCAAGAAGAAAACACAAATAAATTGTTCTAAGTAATTTTTTTTTTCCCACAGATGCTGTGATATTACTATGGAAACTGAATGATAATAAAGAACCAGAACCGATAGCATTTCAGGATGAAGATGAAGCTCAACTAAACAAAGAGAATTGGACTGTTGTTAAAACATTAAGGTAACTTGGGCTTTTATGAGTTTCCTTCATCCCGTGTTTCCATTTATCTGAAACAGCTTCTGCTTACCACATGCAGAATCCTTCCATTGTTCTTCAAAAATTGTCTGCTCCATGATGCATTCCTTTCATGCTAACATCTGCTATTCTGTACTGTACCAGCCCATGTCCTCCATCTCAGGGCAGAAGATCCGACATCTGTGTGGCATGGCGCTCATGTTCTGTAGCACTTAATATTTCAAATTTATCATAACTTCAAAAGCTACATCTATGAAACTTGCATTTGCACCGGGTCATTTTAAATAAATATACCTTTAATTACTGGATTTATACTAGAAATATTAGGGAAAATTCAACAAAAAAGTCCAAAAAATATATGTTTCTTAGAAAGTTAGCTGTCGGTCCAGGCCAACGTTCACATAAAGGCTTTATCATCTTTATACACAGTTCATTTCAAACGATTAAATCCTTATTAAAAAAATATGTATATTCATTTGAGTTTTGCAAATTAACTATGAATGATAGTTTCAGTATACTTGTTAGTGGACAAGACATCAAACATGCTACATACTTTTACATTTGTTATTAAATTGAATCTTGTTTTCACTCCAAGTGAAAAAGACAACATCCAGTATTTGTTGTAGAATCTAAGGGCATTTTTACATGTGCTGTGGGCACTTTAATTAGTGAGCCGCACTAGTTAAAAGCTCCCATATGTCATGTGTATCAGCGTTGCTGCGCTGAAAAAATGGCAGCGGGGTGCTTTGAACTAAAGCTTATCGAACGTGTTTTATTTCAAAGCGCACTGCTGCCATTTTTTTTCAGCGCAGAGTTGTGCAGCAACTCTGATGCACATGATGTGGAAGTCTGCTGGAGTGCATCAGTTTCCATGCTTCAGCAGACTCGATTAATTGAGCCTGTTCCGAAGCGTTGTATTTCCAGCACATCGGAGCAGCCTCCGCGTGTGTGTGTAAGAGTCCAACAGCATATCCTGAAGTTTAAACAGTCCTTTAAAAAGTGCTTGTGCAATTACCTAAGAAACTGGACAGCTTCTGAAGAAAAGTAATTAGAATTAGTATCTATAATAAACTTAGCATCTTAAAAAGAAAGCATGATAAATATTTATCATTTCAGTGGTCTCATTGTGTGACCATTTCACAAAATACTTCTAGTATTTCTCAACCTTTTTAAAATAATTTTTTAATGGTGATTTTACACACCTAGAATGATCATCAGAAGATATTAGTTAAGATGTAGTGTAAACTTAGATTTCTACATTTTAGTTGACTCTACATAGTATGAAAACTTCTTATTTAACTTACCTGGTGGGGAAAGTTTTCAGGAATAGCAATGCTTCTCACTTTTTTCATTTTGTTGCTGCAATTATGCAGTATTTAGTTTTTATTTTTTTTATTGCTGTTATTATACATTATATAGAACCTAGGAATATTAATTTTACAGCTCTCTAATCTTGCATTTGAGGTAACTTATGAAGTCAGTTTTTATTTCCTTTGGAATATGTGCTGGTACTTGTGCGGGCCGGGAGCAACCCGAGCCCTTTTTCGTGCTGCACGCAGGCTGCTGGCCAGCAGCCTGGGCACGCTGGATCGGAGAAGGAGGGCAACGAGCTGGAATTAGGCACAAACGCTTAGCGGTAGTTTTAAAGATTGTTTACTTACACCAAAGATGGTCGTGGTGTAGGCTGGAAAACTTGCTTGAGTTGCGGTTGCAGACAGGAAAGAAGAGAGGCGGACAAGAGTTCTAAACTCGTGAACTCTAGCCCAATCCGGCTGAAGGCTCTAAACATGCGAGCCCGTCGTGTCAACCGAAGAAAGTACTCGTCCGAAAGAGCTCTGAATAAACTCACATGAAGTTTGCTAGGCTCCGTGGGTCCTTCTGCTCACTCATCCACACGAAGTTTGCTAGGCTCCGTGGGTCCGGTTCTTTTGCGCGCAGGGAGGGATACGTCTAGGAATCTATCAGCGACAGGGAGAGGCTAGAGGCTGATCAGACCTCTGTTGCCTGCTTGAAATGCACTGGGTCTGTAAGGATCCTCAGCGCTTGGAGATCTTCACACAGCGTGAAGTCTCCTCCTCCCGGTGTTCGTGGAGTCCTCCAACTTGGGCGGAAACCACTCAAGCCTTTTATACGGCTAGCAAGCCAATCACTAGCCGCCATGTGTGAATAATTTAGAACTGGCCAATAATGGGACTCGAATTAGCATACAAATGGCGGGAACTCTGCAACGAGCATTTCTGTGCTGCAACAAAGAAATGCACCCTGCAAAGAAAGCTTCAAATTGGCGGGAAATTCTCGCTTGCACCAGGGGCTTCTTTTGCAGCAGAAAACTCCACCGTGCAAGGAAGCTGTAATTTAGCGGGAACAATTTAGCAGTGCCGAAGCACACAAAAACAAATCACACCCTTTGGGTTGTGACAGTACTATGGTGAATTATGAAGGCATATTTTAATTTTATTTTTAAAATTTTCTACTTTCCATATTCTAAATGTGACTGCTTTGTTTAAAAATAAAAAGGAGGGACTAGTTATTTCCTAAGTGGTAACTTTTTCTTGCAATTTTTTTTTTTAATACTAAAAAAATCAATGTCATTTTTGTTTATTCACAACTGTCCTTTATATAATTAATGATTGTCTTCCATTCTACTGGGTTCCAGAGGCCATTTAGAAGATGTTTATGATATTTGCTGGACCACTGATGGAAACTACATGGCATCTGCATCAGTAGATAACACAGCTATAATGTGGGATGTCAATAAAGGTAATTGCTAAATTAAATTTTTCTTTCCTGAGGCTCCCATATGGAGGTAAATTGTATCCCTTGGTGTTTAAGCAAAGTAAGTGAAGTGCTTTTTTCTGTGGTAACATAATCCAGTTAATTCTCCAACTTTTGAAGATGGGATGAAAGTATCTCCATGAGCAAAACCTGGATTGGGGGAGAGGGAAAACCCTTAAAAACACTTTATAGCCTTGGCCCTTCAAATATTCTCTGCACAAGTAATCCCTAAACTCAGTGAAGGCCATGATAACTCACATGCAGAAATGTTTGTAAGATTGGAGCTGAACAGCCTTGGTCTTGAGTTTATTGTAACAAGCTTGTTTAAGTGTGGTTGGATGTCCCTGGAGGTATATGCAACTATAGTCCTTCACAAATGTGATGGAACAAAGGCTGTCATGAGACTGAGTACTGTTCTCATCTAAAAGACTGTCTTGTGAATTATATTGACAGTGCCCTTATTTTCTGAGGGTTGGTTATTTCACATATAAAAGTAGAATAAGGATTACTCCTTTGCCTATTGCTAGCATTCTTTCAGTAACCATCTTATAAGTGGTAAAATGCTTTGAGACCTAAAGAAGAAAAAATGTCTTTTGTTGGAGGGTATCCTTGGCCACTTTTCATTCAGTTTAAATGAGGGAGTAATTAAATATGCCACTTTTGTGGTAACAGTGATGAGAGGAGGGTTGATCAGATTGTAGCTGTATTGATGTGTAGGTCCGAAGCAGCACACCAGGAGAGAACCAGTGAGAGAGAATCGGGGAACCACTAGGAGTATGACCCTGAGAGAGCCACTGGAGCTTTCTAAGCAGAGTGGTAGTTGCTCAAAAGTGGGAGTAAGCAAGCTCTCCTGCTGTTTGATCCTACTTTGTTCAGGGAAACAAGATTTTTGCATTTTCTTTTTATAGTTAAACATAATTGCACCAGAGAAATATTTGATGTATATAATCCATTTCAACACCTAACAGAAGCAATCCACATATCCCTAAATGTTGGCTTGCTACCTGAGATAAAATGGGTAGTAAGTGCCACCAGAGCTTGATCTTGGATCGTGCTGAGATCTCTGGCCCCCATCCAGCCTACCCAGAGATGAGCTCATCGGAACTGCTTGTGTTCATAAATGTTATGTCTGTGCTTAGCTGGGTCAAGCCCAGCATGTTCAACACCCTGCAACTGAGTCAAGGCTGATAGCTACATATCATTATGAGTAGTAAGACCTTATTACATTGTAAGACTGGGGTTGACAACTGACAGCCCATGGGCCAGATCCAGCTTACAGATGTGGGGCTTTGGCTGCAGGCACTTGCATGCCACTGCAGGCTCAATCACCAATTGTTGGCATTCTCTCCATGCTGCCACACAGACAAACAATGGTGGCAGCTGGGTCGTAGTGCTTACCTAACTGAATGCCTCTGACCCAGCATGGGTCATTCTGTCCCACAACCTTTTCTAGCTGTGGCCAGTTACTAAGAATTAGCCAGTTGCCATCATCACCCAAGAGAAAGAGCCTGCCTCTTGTTTAAATTTTGACTCATGCTTTTGTGCTACAGGTCTGTAGTTCAGTACCCAACATGATGACCATTCAAGACTCAGGAGAAAAAATCTGAAATGCATATAAGTTTAATGTCTTGTTACTTAATAAACAAAATAGGCATATTACAAAGCCTGAACCTTATTGTTCAACTAAGCAGAAGCCACAAAGGAGGGGGAAAAAAAGTTTAAACTTGCATTTCAATTGTCACTATTAAATTGCTGTTAAAGCATTTATCAGTTTGAGTGTTTAAAAAAAAAAAAAAAAAAGGAAAAAAAAGGTGTATTGCTGTATATTCTGGAATATTTGGCCTTGTTTTTAATTCCTTTTTAAATAATTCTCTTCAGTTTTAGTTTTTGAAACTCTTTGTATTTTCAGGGCAAAAAGTCTCAATTTTAAATGAACACAAAAGTTATGTACAAGGAATAACTTGGGATCCTCTTGGCCAGTACATTGCAACACTTAGCTGTGATAGGTGAGTTTTGGCTTAAGTGTTCTCTTACCATCCTATAAGTAAATACTAATGTGGTTTCCATGTGCAGTATCCTGTCTGTCTTAAGGCTATACTGTAATGTGCAAAAATGTTTAATTTTTAACAGTACTTTATCTTGTGCAAATGTAGACTGCACACTTAACAAAATGACCAGGACGGCTCTTCTATCCCATACTTAGGTGCCACTTGTGGTTACCAGGCATAGGGTCCTGTCCCACTCATAGCTGTACCATGTTGTTCAAAATTTTTAATTTGGACATTTTTAACAAGATTTTAAATCTGTTCCATGCTAGCTGAGATTAAGTCAAGAAAGGGGTATTTAATTCCTTCTCTTCATAATTATTAGTATTAGAAGCAGTTTTTAACTGCTTTCAAATTAATCCTTGAAAGAGAATAGCAAAGGTGAGTTGAAAAGTTATGCTCAATTTATTTCTGTGCAAACTGTCACCCACAGTCTGAGCCTGATCAGAGATCTGAGGAAAAATGCCTTGCATTCAAAAGCTTGTTTAACTTTATCCCCAACTACATAGTTGGTCCAATAAAAGATCTTTGCCTCACCATCTTGTGTTAATTTCTTCACCATCTTGGCTCCACCATCACTCTTATGCCACTCTAAATGTAGACATTTAAGTAAACGGCTACTTTTTTTTCTCCATGAAATCAGCTGGCACTTTCTGGGTTGTCAAAGATATTGTAAGTGTGTACTTTATGTCCCAATACAATGTATTCTCAAACATCTTCCATGAGCCTAGGTTTGACAGCGTGTTACAGAAGAGAAACGACCATGTTTAAGTCCAATAAAACATGTTTCTTTTCTGAATTCCCCTTGCAACCTGGTCAATAAGCAAACAAATCTGTAATTAACAAATTCAATTTAAATTTGTAGTTCAGCTTTGAAATTGTGTAGGATACATATCTTATTCTTAATAGGCTTCACAGCTGGATAATAAACCTTATACTGTGTAGCTTCCTTTGCAAAGAAAATTGCTTTAACACACTGGAGAAATCACTCCTTGATTTGAGCTTTGGGGCAGATCTTATAGTGGCCTCAGAGAGAGAGGATGAATAAAAGGACTTTAGGTCATAATGAATCTCATGTCTTCTAATATTCAGCCATGCCAAATAAACACGAGACCTTGGTGTTTCAGTAAAATAAAGTGACATTTGTCTTGAGACTTGAAAGTTAGCATGCTTAATGAGGTGAATTAGGATGCTTCACATTTCCCTGCAGATTCAGAAAGACAGCCTTGCACAGGAGTTCATTCAGTTCATATTTATAAGCCTCCTACCACAAAGGCCTAGGAATCCATCTATTTTCCTCTGTGGAAGCTTCTATTCTGTAGGATGGAGCCACTGGGGAAAGGCCAGGAAGTTGCCTTGGTCCTTTATGTTTCCATGAACCCTGATTCTTCCTTAATGACACGTACACATGCTCTACAAATAAAGCTGCTCTTAATAAATCAAGGACATTCAGTGACTTAGTTATTTGTTGATGCCCTCTGTTTTAGGGCTCTTTTAATAGTAAGGTCTTTTGTCATGTGACAGTTTTGAGATGAGTTGAATCCTGAAAGGTTTTGATTGAAACAAGGGATCCAGGGAAGAATGTGCTGTAACTATGAAAAAATCAAGGATTAGCTTGGTGAGGAAGAAATATGTTGGTATTCTCTGTTATGCAGGGTGATGCGAGTATACAACACACAGACCAGACGAGTAGCATTCAATGTTACCAAGATGCCGTCAGGAGCAGGAGCTGAAGGAGAGGTAAATTATTCTAATGCTAACATTGTCAGGCAACACTTTGTATGTTGTTTTACAAATGCTGCACTCTTGAAAAGTGAAACTCTGGCATTGATGACAGGAAAGTATTGTTTTAGAGATAATTTACTAGTATGTTAGACACTTTCGTATTCATGTGAAATGGAGGTTCTCTTAGTTATTAGCAGGGATCCTGGTTTTCTCTGATTTAAAAATTGCAAATTCTCTGATTTTTAAAAACCCCAAATCCGTGATAAAAATTAAAGGCCCCCCACAACCCCACCCCCCGTGCAACTGGTGCCCCGCACTCTCCCCCACAGCCTCAACAGCCCTCCTGATGCTCCTCACAACAGACTCACAGACACTGACATCCACTCCAGCAGGTAAATGTGTGTGGGGGCGGGGGGAAGGTGCTGGGGAGGTAGATCAAGAAGGGGCAGAGCATGCCCCTGTGCCCACTCCCTGGAGCAGGGCCTGGGGGTGTGGGCAGGGTGCCACTCTGCAGGCCACACACACCGGCCGGCCTGACGGGGTTCGCACACGGAGGCCACCACCGCAACTCTGCCATTGCACCCTGCGCTACCATCTCATGGCTACCCGCATGGCTTTGTGGGCAAGCAGCGCAGGCGCGGCAGTCCAGTGGCAACCACTGTATACGGGCCACATACATGCCACCCAGCCAGGGGCTGGAAAGGGGGGCTTGCATGCAGCAGACACTACTGCACCGCTGCTTATGCCCTGTGACTGGCTGCATGACTCTGCGGCGCTGTAGGGTAGTGGTGGCTGCGTGCTGGCTGAGGCAGTGGGGGGGGGCATTGCGGGCAAGTGCTGTCACTGCAGAGCCATGCCCTACGCCCCTTGATCCTAGAAGGCCCCCCACAACCCCACCCCCCGTGCAACTGGTGCCCCGCACTCTCCCCCACAGCCTCAACAGCCCTCCTGATGCTCCTCACAACAGACTCACAGACACTGACATCCACTCCAGCAGGTAAATGTGTGTGGGGGCGGGGGGAAGGTGCTGGGGAGGTAGATCAAGAAGGGGCAGAGCATGCCCCTGTGCCCACTCCCTGGAGCAGGGCCTGGGGGTGTGGGCAGGGTGCCACTCTGCAGGCCACACACACCGGCCGGCCTGACGGGGTTCGCACACGGAGGCCACCACCGCAACTCTGCCATTGCACCCTGCGCTACCATCTCATGGCTACCCGCATGGCTTTGTGGGCAAGCAGCGCAGGCGCGGCAGTGCAGTGGCAACCACTGTATACGGGCCACATACATGCCACCCAGCCAGGGGCCGGGAAGGGGG